GAAAATGAAAATGAAAATGAAATAAAATATTCAGACCAAGAAATGTATGTAGTATCCTTTTGCACAAAAACAATAACCATGAAAACATAATACAGGCCAAGTGCCTATTTTTAATTTCAAACTTGTTCCTCAGTAAATTGAATTTTCTATTCTGGAGAGATTTGAAGGTGGCATGCCAAAATTACAGCAGTCTTCAGAATCTAAACATTTTTGTTTTCTTTTGCAGTCTGGGGCTGCCAAAGTTTTAGGACTGCCAGCCCCCCCACAAAGTATATGAATGGGGTCTACATGGTCTCCCTTCACCATTTATTGTGTGAGCTTGGTCATACCACCGTAGTTTCTGGGCAAAAAGCCCGTTAGCCTCAATTGATTGCCTGCCAAAGATATTAGGGGTGGTGTATTTATGTCCACTCAAAATAGGAAACAGGAAGGAAGTGTGAGTCATACGTGTTTTTGGACTTCGCTGCCAATTTCTCTGCTGATCTTCATGTATGCAGCCACTGGACCTGCCAAGAGCTCATCAAAAGCTTGCACAAACTCAGCAACTCCTGCAGAAGGAGAAAAAAAGCAGATGAGAACTCGTAGATGAGGCCTGTTGCACTTCAAACATGCAGTAGGATTTTGAGCTGCATTAGTGGCATAGATACAACCTCCAAGAGGGGCCTCAATGGGTAAATGCAGCAACACCCTTTAAAAGCAGTTGTATTTTTCCCAGGTTCATGCATGTCATCCCAGGAAAGCTGCAGCTGGTTTTATGGGGCTACAAACAGACTAGAGTAGGGGTGCCAAACTCAAGGCTGTTGAGCCAGATCTGGCCTGCAGGGTGCTTAGATCTGGCGCACAGGGACACCCTAGAAACAGTGAAGGACCAGCCTTGTGGTGCCTCTGCCAACAAAAATGGAGCGCGGGAGTACCATACTCTGATTTTTGATGGCAAAGCGCTTGGGCCACCACAGGGATCCCCAACATGAGTGATGTCGAGCTGGCCACAGGGTGGGCTGCTGGGGTTTTGCAGCAGCTCGGGAGAACTTCTAGCCAAGATTCTGTGCAGTTTGGAGAACTCCCAAATCCCACTCCCAAATCCCACTCCTGGCTGGCCCCACCCACCCCTCCCCTTCCAGGAGTCCCCATGCGGCCTGTTTTGGCTGCAGGTAAGTGCAAGGCCTCTTGAGGAGGGTGAAAATCAGGCCTACTGGAAGTTTGGGAAGGCAAGAAACGGGCCCATTTCTGGACTCCAGGTGGCCTCTGGAGCTTGGAGAGGCCGTTTGAGGGTTGACTCAGCCTTCCATCCTTCCGAGGTGGGTAAAATGAGGACCCAGATTGTTGGGGGCAATATGCTGACNCTCAGAAAAGCTCGGAGCAACTTTGCATGGAGAAGTTTTGGTCCCCAAATCCTTACCATGGCGACCCAGCCTAGTGCAGGGATGCTTTCGCTAACTGTCGAGAGGTGGTTGAAGAATTTGCTGCCACGGTTCTTCTCCCTGAAGTTCTGGACCACTTGGATCTGATCCGATATTGGCTTCAACACGACGGAGAAGTTACTCTGCAGGTGCAAAAGTAGGAAAACCAAGAAGTGAATTATTTATGCACCCAAATCCTCTTGCTGCCCAGGGTTCTCCTTGATCATAATTGATGGCTGCCTAGTCCCATTGAAGGACACGGTGGCTCAGTGGCTAAGACGCTGAGCTTGTCGATCAGAAAAATTGGCAATTTGGTGGTTCAAATCACTAGTGCCACGTAATGGAGTGAGCTCCCGTTACTTGTCCCAGCTTCTACCAATCTAGCAGTTCGAAAGCATGTAAAAATGCAAGTAGAAAAATAGGGCGGTGCTCATCTCTGTTTCAAAGCCGAAGAGCCAGCACTGTCCAAAGACGTCTCGGTGGTCATGTGGCCGGCCGGCATGCTAAATGCCGAAGGCACATGGAATGCTGTTTCCTTCCCATCAAAGGTGGTCCCTATTTTTCTACTTGCATTTTTTACATACTTTCAAATTGCTAGGTTGCCAGAAACTGGGACAAGTAACAGGAGCTCACTCCGTTACACGGCGCTAGGGATTCGAACCGCTAAACTGCCGACCTTTCTGATCGACAAGCTCAGTGTCTTAGCCACTGAGCCATGCACTCCATGTATCACTGTAAACAAGCACTATAATTCTAAAGGTTTTTCTCCACTTACTGCTATGGGCTGCTGGCACTGTGATGCTGTCATCAGAAGAGTTCTCTCAGTCATTAATCCAGCATGGACCATCTCAGCCTATAAGAGAAGGAGAAACAGACAACTCTATGAATTAGCTGCAATGATTGGTTGGCAAAATAGAATTCCAAGAATTACTGACTTGTAAGACAGGCTATATATATTGTTTCTTACATTTGCATGCAACAAGCAAAGGTAATTTAAACAATGAAACGAACAAACAAAAATAACATTAAAACAATAGCCTCAGGACCTTATGACAGAAAGTTTGCAAGGACGACTAATATAAGTCAAAGCCAAAGGCCTTGAAATGCTGATACACCCATTCAGCATGGTGCAAATCACCCTGTAACTAAGATTTGATATGCCTATTAATAAAGGCTTGAAGACTTGCTGGAGAAGGAGAGAGGAAAAATGGGCTTTGCAACAGAAAAAGTGGAAGAGAGAAGATTTTAATATATTGTAATTGTGTATCTAATTTCATAGGGGATGGGGAACTATGAACTGGCCTGTATTGGCTGTAGGAAGATTGGGAGTTAAAAATTCTTTTTTTTCCAATCTCTTTTCTATTTCTATTCTTTTCATGTCTTTTCTCTGATTTTCATTTGCATTATTATTTAGTATTGCAAAACTGGCTAACAATGGGTATTTTTAAAACACCAATAGATTGTGGACTTCTCTGAGCTTGTTTGCTTGTGGGTCTTTCATTAATTAACTAGGCAACATCACAGGTCTTGCTGAGAAACCCCCAATTCAATCTTGAGTTACATCTTTCTCTTCTACTGAAAGTTAATATTTTCGGCAATTTCTCCTAAAGCCTGGACAGAGATATTTTAGAAATAGGTCAGTGCTGGTGTAATATGCTGCAGAAAAGGAAGGAAATTTAGTTTCAATCTCACTTCAGGAAAACACACAATCCTTTGGGTAGTCTCAATGCTCCTTGCCCCACTTAGTAGCTTATTTTATATAAAGGTTCCCCGTGCACATATGTGATAGTCGTTAACAACTCTAGAGGGCGCTGCTCATCTCCATTTCAAAGTTGAAGAGCCAGCACTATCCAAAGATGTCTCTCTGGTCATGTGGCCGGCATGACTAACGCCAAAGGCGCATGGAGCGTTGTTATCTTCCCACCAAAGGTGGTCCCTATTTTTCTACTTGCATTTTACATGCTTTTGAACTGCTAGGTTGGCAGAAGCTGAGACAAGTAATGGGAGCTCACTCTATTACGTGGCGCTAGGGATTCGAATTGCCGACCTTTGTGATCGACAAGCTCAGCGTCTTAGCCACTGAGCCATCGCGTCCCACTAGCTTATTTTATAGGCCTACCCTAAGAATTTCAGTAGAAATATCCCCATTCTCCTGTCAGGGCAGGTATCTAGAAAACACAACAGCTAGTAGCTCAAGAAATGTATGTAGTATCGATATAGGGCTTCGAGGGGAGGAGCTGCCGCCGTCGGGAGCTTAATAAAGCTCCTGCCAGGACT